GCTCTGACTTTACAGTTAACATCAAAAACAGACTTTAAACTCAAACGTCAAACTACATTAAATCTTGTTAAACTACAGGAGAAAAATGACGACTTTCTAAATCCAGTTGTGAATTTAATAAAATAATGAGAAACAACAGTCGGACTGTCGGTATTTAAATATTTACTACGTTTCATTTTTAACATCCTGTTGTTTCAGTGTGAACGTTTGTCGACTTGAACAAAAACTTAAATACTGAGTAATCTAACCCCAAAACAAGCTAGCTTAGCTTCATGCTAAGCCCAGACTCATCTTCATCTTCCAAACTAACCCTGCATATGCACGCTCATTAAAATTTAAACATCTAAACCAGGTTGCATATCTTTGACATTATTAGTGTTGATTTTCCAACTAACTATAAAAAATGGGTCCAGATTTCAGTTCCGATGTTTTATTTTTAAGCCTTGGAGTTGGCATAAGGAAGAACTCGTCTGATTCTCTAAAATTGGTGATGTGGACATGAAATTAATAAGCTACTAAAGATTTTTTTAATATTGTTAGGAAAAACGGACAAAACCAGTAATTAAATGGCTCCAAAGAAATGGAAGGTGTAAATGGTTAAATATAAAGTCCAAAATGATCAGTTTTAATTTGATAAGCTGCCAAACCTGCTTTGAGTTTGACATTTTCCTGCCTGCTTTACCCGCGTTGTTTAATAACAATTTAGCTGAAAGTGTTTTAGCTTAGCTACCAGAAGCTGTTAGCTTAGCTACCAGAAGCCGCTAGCCTAACATTGTGTGTATTCAAACAGTGCTGATTTATGCTTTTGCTGTGTGTGTGTGTGTGTGTTAAGGGTTGGTAATGTTCCTCAAAAAGTTATGTTGTTTTCATAAACTTGCACAAATGTAAATATATTTTTGGCTTTTCTTATCGAAACTCAGCTAATTTACTGTTTAAGCTTATTTGATGCAAATTTGGTAAAATTTAAAGACTTGTTCATTTTGTTTTTTAAGAGATGTCAGTCCTGAAGTTTTTAGTTATGTCTATTTTTTGAAATCTTTAGATTTTTCTACCAGTTTAATTCCACCTGTTGCAGTATTTCAGATTCGTTAGCGAACATGTCCTGTTAGCTGCATGTTTTATCCTCAGATTATGCTAGCAAGCTACAGTTTGATGTTTGGCAGCCATGTTTGGCAGCCATGTCCGTGCAGCCAGCCAGCTAGCGGCGGCTGCTCTGTTAGCTGAACCACGTTTGTCGGACCACAGAGAGGTTTGTCTTGTTTCCAGAGATCTGGCTGTTATTGAGCTGAAATTGAGTCAATGGTTCTGCTTTCTGTATGTGTGATGATGATAAAGACAATAATAATGAGTTCTCCTCTTCAGGGGTCTATTTAAATCGTATAAATATTCAGTTTGTCGATGAGTTTGTGTAAATTTCCACTCTGGCGGTGCTCTCCAGTTAAAATGTTTGTTTTTTGTTCTGTTTAATTCACATGTTGTGTTTAACCGAGTGTGTGTGTTTCCTCAAGACTGCTAGGCAAACTGCCTCCTGCTCTGCCCCCGGAGCTCCGCCCCGGTTCGGTTCTGACCCGCCTGTAATTGGGCCAGAGATGGGGCGGCTCCGGGTCGGGCAGCGCCGCATTGTTAAAACAGCTGGAGTGGATTCATGCCGGGTGTCCGGTTCTGGTTCCGACAGCTGCGATCAGAACCGGACCTGCGAACACCGGCCCGCTTCAGCGTCCGGCTTCCTGATCCGGAGACTCGGGTTCCGGAGGGCAGCTTCTGGTTTCTGTTGTTTTTCTAATGGACAGACGTCCGACTGTAACCTGCAGATTTTTCTATTAGATTCTATTGACGGATAGATGAACCAGCCAGGCTGATTCACATGAGGGCTAATAAACCGGCTCCTTCTTTCTGACCGTGTCTGTTTCTGAGTGAAACTGATTTTTATCTCTTGATTTTGGTTTCAGGACAAACTGAAGTTTTCACGTGAGGAGCTGAAACATCTGGATGTTTTATGTTAGATCTATAGATCTGCTTCATTTCTCTCCTGGCGGCTGCAGCCGGATGTTTAAATCACAAACTGAAGACGTTTAACTGGCTTCATTCATGAGGATTTTACTGTGAACCATAGAAAACGCTTCTAAAATCAAAACGTATTTAAACTTAAACCAGATAATTTATGTTGTTTAGTGTCGTAAATGTGTATAAAAACATCAAAATGAAGGAAAAACCTCTTTAGGGTCTGGACTTCATATCTTAGACTCATTTTCTGTCCATTTGGGTCAGATTTGTTTTATGAGAATTATGGATGAAATTCCTGCTTGGCTTCAAAGGACCAAACTCGTGTGTTTTGGATCAGAACCGGCCCGCGGACCGCTGCTTGAGCCCCGGAGGTGGGCCCCTCAGAGCGGCCCCTCATGTCCTGACATGAACATGGTTCTGATCATTTATTTATGCTCCCTGAGCGGCGCAGATGGTTCTGGTCCGAATAACGGCGTGATGTCATCGGGTCGCTAAAACGTTCCTGTAATCACCGCCGACCGGCCCGGGGGGCCGCTGGGGCCCCGGGGGGCCGCTGGAGGAGGAGGAGGAAGATGAAGGACGCCTCACCGTGGAAACGGATATTTTCAGGAACATGAACGCCTCATGGGGACCGAGGAGGTTCTGAAGAATCTGGACCGGTTCCATACGGGGGCGACGAGGCCCAGAGCCCCGCGGAACCCAGTTCCTGATGAAACCGGTGGTTAAATTCAGGATCAACAGGCAGAAACGGAAATAATTAATTATTGCTGTAGTTCTGGTTCTGGTTCCGATCCGTAGTTCTGGTTCCGATCCGTAGTTCTGGTTCCTCCAACTGAAACTGATTTTGATGAATTTATTAAACAATCAGAAGTTCTGATGATTCTAGTTCGGTTTGTGGGAAGCCGACTCCGGTCCGGTTCTGGATGTTTTCCTGATGCTTCATGGAGAGGCGGAACCGGCCGGTTCTGTTTGTGGTTTCAGAGCTCTGGTTGGGCCCAGGGGTCCGGTTCGGCTAATGCATGCAGCTCTGCGGTCATAAAGTACCGGAAGGAGTTCGGTAAGTACCGGTGAAGCGGAGACCTGATTAAACATTAACGTGATGGGGATCTGGACCCGGTCCAAATGTTTTCCCTGTGGGGAGGGGGGGGCGGTTCTGACCCAAATGTTCTGAGATTACAGACTGAAATTTACCCCGAACCGTCTGGATCAGAACCCTAGATTGAACCTGGAGGGATTCCTCCAGAACTTCAGTTTGAGACGACCGGAACCAGAACCGGATTCCTGGTTCAAACTGAAGTCCAGGTCCACTCGGAACCGGACGGGTTGATCGGCTCAGCAGAACCGGGTTTATGAGCTTTGAGAAATGAATCTTTGATTTCTCTCGTGAATTTGTCCCGCCAGACGGAACCGAACCGGAACCTGGAATCTGAGATGAAAACGGAAACGTGTTTTTATTTTTCCGTTTATGACTTTTATATTTTATACTTTATTTTCTCTCTGCTGATCGATGACGTTTTCCTGGTTCTGGTTTTCTGCGGGTATCGGTTCCAGCAGAACATTCGGAACCAGAAGTTTTCCTGGAAATGTCCTGAAGGTCATCGGACCAGAGACGGAACCAGGACAGGTTCGGAAACATTTGTGGAGAAGAAGAGGCCGATGTTGAGGATCTGGGTCATAGAACCTCAGCAGAACTTTTTCCAAAGTGAGATTTAAAAAGCGGGACGTGAGAAACCGTCCGGAACCGAGGACTCTGGGTCCGGTTCCGCAGAACCCTGACGATGGTCTGGTTTTAGTTTTTCTAGTCCTGCTGGTTCCGGAGAGAAGCTGAAGCTCTGGACCGAACCCTCCTCCTCCCCTTGGTCGTGAGGAAGGTGGGCTCGGTTCGGTTCGGATCATTAAAAGGTTTTTAAAGCGGATTATTAGCGGCGCGCGCTGCGTCTGTCCGCCGCATGAATACTAATGAGGCGCTGCGCCACTTAATCACGTTAGCGGAACAATATTAGTGCGCCATTTGGGCTGATTCCCAGCCCCCCCCACCCCCCCTTGTCTGTGCGCGTGCCAGTCACCTGCCGCTCCCTCCGCCTCTGACTTCCCGGCGTCTTTTCGGGCTGAAGTGGCTCGTTGTTGCGGCGGGACGCGGCGGCGCGGAGCTTTTTGTTGGGAAGCTCATTAAAGCGTGTCCTCCTGCGGCCCAGACGCGCCTCTCCATTAAGGAACCGAAACGCCTGGATCCGCGTGGTGGAGCCCCGCTCTGCGCCACGCAAAGAAAGGCGGGAGAGAAAGGAGGACCCAGCCTTTCTCACTTAAACGAATTGAAAAACATTTGCAAATCTGCTTTTCTCCCCGGATTTTCTCCCCTTTCTCTCCTCTCAGACTCCCAGGACAAAAGCCTCCGGTCCGGCCCGTTCGACTTGGTTCGGCCCGCTCCGGGGCGCACGGAGCTCCGCAGAGGCCGGCGGGGCGGAGCCGGGGCCGACGCCGGGAGAGGATCCGTGAAACCCGGCTGCAGGGCTCGGTGACCACCCGGAGCTCCTGGAGGAAAATTTATGATGTTTAAAATAGTTTTGATTTTATTTGTAGGAATTTTTTAAGTATATATTTTATTTACTGGGATACATATCTTACTATGGGATCAATAAAGGATTATTCTGAGTTTTTATTTGGTTTGTTTCGCCTGACATTAAATAAATTTGAAATATAAATATGTCGATTTATTTCAAAAATAAAAACCTGCAGTTAAAATAAAACTACACCGAGTCTCTTGAATGTTTCAAACATCAACAAGTTTCTGGATCCGGTCCGTTCAGGTTCGGTTCGGATTTATTTCAGGTTTCATTTAAAATAAGATTCTATTCAACATCCAGCGATGTTTCAGTGACGGGCGACAGTAGTGTGTGTGTGTGTGTGTGTGTGTGTGTGTGTGTGTGTGTGTGTTCGGGGGGGTAATAAATGTTTAAAAGCTCATAAATACAGATCAGAGTGAAAGCGGGAATAATGCCCGAGTCGGGAGGAGGAGGAGGAGGATGATGAAGAGCAGCTGTTTCTCTGTAATCTGGCCTCTAATCTCATGTTCTGCTCCGTCACTCAGCCTGGATTCCACCGCTGCTGGTTCCGGGAGGTTCTGCGGGTCCATTTTCAGGCGGATCTGGAGCCCAGAGCATGACGGAGCCTCCCCCGGCGGGCCGGTGACCCCCGGTCAGTGCTGCGTGTTTGGGCTGTGTCTACCTGCTGGTCTGGGTCAGATCGGCTCTTTCCGTCCTAATTGAGCGTGAGACCGCAGCGGAGCCAATAACAGGCCTCCTGCTCCTCCTCCTCCTCTCCCTCCTCTTCCTCAGCGGCTCCGGTATAAAGGCCCCCCCACTCTCCCTCAGGTCGGTTTTCCTGCAGAACCTCTCGACTCCTGCCAGCGCCTCCCGGGCTGCAAGTGGCTGGATCTTCTTCACCGGTGAATCCAGACAGGGAACTTCCGCCCAACTTCGATTCCGCCGCCCCGGTCCCTCCTCTCCCCCGCCGCCATGGGCTCCGTGCTGCCCGCCGGCTCCTCTCTGGCCCTGAAGCCGCAGCAGCCGCTCTCCCTGGCGGACATCATCACCTCGGACATCCTGCACAGCTTCCTGTACGGCCGCTGGAGGCACGTGCTGGGCGAGCAGCCGCCGCACGCGCACCAGCATCACCTGCAGCACGAGGAGCGAACCGGGCCGAGCGCGAGCCCCAAGACCGCCTTCACGGCAGAGGTGCTGGCCCAGTCCTTCTCCGGAGGTGAGGGTCCGGTTCCGGGGGAACTAAAGAGTTAATAATAATACTACTAATAATAATAATAATAATAATAATAATAATAATAATAATAATAATAATAATAATTATTATTATTATTATTATTATTATTATTATTATTATTATTATTATTATTATTATTATTATTATTTCTAAGTTAAAACATGGAACTGGTCGCCTCAATTCATATTTTAGGGACTTTAGATGAAAATTTCATTCCGTTTTTATTTTGGATTTAGTTTTAAACATAATTTGATTTGAAATAGAAAAACGAAGGAAAATATTTTTTGCTCAAAGTTCCGATCCATTAATTTGATCAGATATTGAAACTTTTCTGAACATGAAGATGATTTTTCCAGCTCAGCGCGGAACTTTTCTCTGATTTCTGGTTAATTTTTATTTAATTTTATCGTTTGATTCGTTTTTGTTTTTGGTAAATTTCGTTAGAAATAATTCCAGAGAAAATATTTCAGTTTGATTTTGTCATTTTTATCATTTTCTGTCATTTTGACGGAATTATTTCTGTTTCTCTGCAGGAGTTTAAAGGCGGTTCCGGCTCAACCCGCCGCTCCGGCTCCGGCTCCGGTTCCGTTCTTTTTTTCTATAATCTAAAATGTTTTTTCTGTTTGTGCTAGTTTCGCGGACCGGACCGAATCGAACCGAACCGAGCCAGGAGATCCACAGAAGCCGAACTTTTCAAGCAGTTTATTCTTATTTTTTCCAGTTATTGTCATTTGGTTGCGAACCTCGGAACTGGGTTCGGCGAGCAGCGGGACGGTCTGGTGCCGCTGAGCCAGAGCCGAACCTGGTTCTGTTCGGAGAGAACCTGAGCTAAGTGAAGTTCTGTTTGTGTTCAGAGGTCCAGAAGCTGTCGAGCCTGGTTCTGCCGAGCGAGGTCATCATCGCCCAGAGTTCGGTTCCGGGTAAGCAGAACTTTAACGGAATAGTTTATGTTTCTGCGAAACGAAGCAGAGATAATATTACACCCTGTAGAGGTTCGGTTCGGTTCGGTCCGTCCGCAGGCTGATTGGACCTCTCTGTGCTGCAGGAGAAGGACTCGGGATTTTCTCCAAGACCTGGATCAAAGCCGGAACCGAGATGGGTCCATTTACCGGCCGCCTGGTCTCACCGGAACATGTGGACCTGTACAAGAACAACAACCTGATGTGGGAGGTGAGGCCCGGCAAGGTTCGGTTCGGTTCGGTCTGGTCCAGTTTGGTCCAGTCCGGTCCGGTTCGGTTTGGTCCAGTTTGGTCCAGTCCAGTTCGGTTTGGTCCGGCCCGGTTCGGTTCGGTTCGGTCCAGTAAGGTCCGGTCCGGTTTGGTCTGGTTCGGTTCGGTCCAGTGAGGCTCGGTCCAGTCTGTCCTACACACCCCAACCTCCGGTTCTGTTCGCGAATTTCAGGCTTTTCGGAACATCTAAACACTTCCAGTAGAACCAGACAGAACCGAACCAGAACCAGACAGAACCGAACCAGAACCAGAAAGATTCTTTAAATGAGCCGAATCTTCAGCGGTACTTCCCGCTGCAGCAGCGATCGGAACCGGTTCTGGACTTCCATCACATCAAAATATAAAAATATCAGTTAAGTCAACGGTGCGAAATTTATTTACGTTTCATTTTATAAGTTTCTCTAAACATAAATAATAATAAATGTAATAATTCATTTTTACAGGAGCCGAAAAACACAAAGAATCAGCAAAAAGTGCAGCCATAATTAATATTTTAATTTATTAAACATTAAAATCAGGGTTCAAACTGTTTGACTGTCGAATCAAATTCTGCAGAAAAACTGTAAAATATTACAGAAGATGAAATAAACTATAGAATGCAGCAGTTCAATAATAATAATAATAATAATAATAATAATAATAATAATAATAATAATAATAATAATGAAATTGTTGCAATAATTAATACAAATCTTTGCACATTTTATACTAAAAGAAAAACTTTTGATATTTTTAACTTTTATTAATTTCTCAACAGTCAGAAAATCTTGAAAAAAAAATCAGCCACTTTAAGTAAATAAGTAAAACTGATTTTAGTGAAACTGATTCCTTTTATAAAATATAAATAATGTGTTTAATTCAACATGTTTCCCCGGGGACGTTTGATGTTACTGCTAAAAATATTTATCTAATTAAAATCCATACATCTGGAACACAAATCGCTCCACGAGCGGTTTCTGATCGGTTTCTGATCGGTTTCTGATCGGCTTCTGATCGGTTTCTGATCGGTTTCTGATCGGTTTCTGATCGGTTTCTGATCGGCCTGGTTTTGTCTCCAGGTGTTCAATGAAGACGGGTCGGTCCGGTTCTTCATCGATGCCAGTCAGGAGGACCAGCGCAGCTGGATGACGTACATCAAATGCGCCCGGAACGAGCAGGAGCAGAACCTGGAGGTGGTTCAGGTCGGCAGCAGCGTCTTCTACAAGGCGGTGGAGGTCAGAAAGTATCACTTATTGTTGTCTGAAGCTGGTGTTTAACTGAAGTCCTTCGGGGTTTAGAGTCCCAGCTGACGGCGTTTCAACTAGAAGCCTGGAGGTTGGAGTCCTTGTCAAACGGTGTTTTTGACTAAAGTCCCAGAGGGTTTGAGTCCCAGTTAAACGACATTTAACCGAAGTCCTCAAAGGGGTTTTAATGTTTTTATCTTTTTAAAAATCCTTTTCAAAATGTCTTTCTCTTGCTCGCTGTTTATTCAATGTCACGTGCTGTTTTTATTTTAATTATGTAAAGCACTTTGAAATGCCTCGCTGCTATACAAATAAAATTTGATTGATTGAAGCTCCAATAAGCGGCTGGAAAATAACTTTAAACCGTTTGAAGTTATTCAGACTTTAAACTGAAACACAAAATAATTTCATTTTTTTTTTCTTTTGGAGCCAAAAAAAATACTAAAGAAATAATAATTAGACTAAAACAAATGAAATGTTTTTCTGTTTGGAATTAAAAAAGAAATGATTTTCATCTTTCTACATGTAAATCTATAAATATGGCATCGTTTTCATTTTTTATTTTTTTAATCTGTGAAAACATGTATTATTTTTTATTTACGAGTTGATTTAGGTTCAGTATGTTGATGATTTTTGGCTCTTACTGGTTTTTGTAAAGATGCAAATTTAATAAATCAAACGATTTAATAAAACTGATTTAATAACAAAACTGGAAAATTAATTATCTATTAAAGCATGAGCAAACAACCTGGGAATGTAAGGGATAAATTAATAACATTATTATTAATAATATCATTATTATTGTTATCTAATAATATAACAATATAATAGGAATATCATTTATTGTCCCCCAGTGGAAAAATTCAAGTGCAATGTCCAATTTTCACTATAGAAAAATATTAAATTAA